AGAATAGACCATTCCAAGCTTTTACTTGTTGTTAAACAAATGTTTAAACAACTTTATTTATTCAAACACACGCAAATGGTTTGACTCTACATAGAAGCTATAAAGTACATCTAGGTCGTAATACATTAAGGGAAACGAATCGTTCAATTAAAAAGCACTCATATACGTCTCTCTGCAGGAGCTACAAAAATCCCATTTTTGTAAATTTTCATGCAAAGCCAAACAAGCGAAATAACTGCACATAGCCGTCCCTCATTTTGGGCTAAAAGACTAGTGAAAGAGGCAGCTAATCGCAGCACACCCCGCCAACCTTCGTGAAACTGAATGAATTATATATTTTAAAACTTGTCTTTCTTTTAGGCCCACCTCGTCCGCTACCAGAACTCAACAACCCTCCACAGATTGTTCCGGCTGGTTCAAATGTCAGATTATCGTGTCCAGTCCAAGATGACCATAGCACCTTGTTTTTTGAGTGGTATAAGGACGGCCAACAGCTCACGACCCTTGCTAGTGACCACTTTCGGGTTACGAACCGTGGTACCCTTAAAATCACTGGAACAGTTGGAGAGGATACTGGTCTGTACATCTGCGAAGCAGTAAACGGTTTTGGTAAAGTTTCAATTAACGTGTCTCTTATTGTTCTAGGTAAGAACCCGAGAATTCTCTTATTTTTATCTATTTTACACCTGTGTATATCCGTCTCTCTATCTTGACATTCTTATTGTTCCTGTCTGTGTTTCATTTAACTGTTTGTTTTTCTTTCTGTCTCTCATCTAACTGCACTATGTCTGTTTGTCTGTCTGTTCTTGGTTATTTTTTCAGATATTTGATCTTTCTGCCCAACTTTCGTCTGTCATTTCATCTCTGATGTTCCTATCTTTTATCTAAATAATTGTATATTCGTAAATTCGTTGGTGTTTTATGTCTCAATTTTTTATATACTTTAATTATTGACTTGTTCAAATTGCACAACCAAATAACTTGGATATTCGAAGTGTTTGTTTACAAATCGTTTAACTTTTTACATTGCTTTATTAAGTTCAGTTTCTTGAAACAACCTTATGTTACTACATACTGCAGGGCTTCAATCAGCATCAGTCTGTAGAAGTTCCTACACTACTTTAAGTTCAGTTTATTGTAACAACCTTATGTTGCTACATATTGCAGGGCTTCAATCAGCATCAGTCTGTCGAAGTTCCTACACAACTTTAAGTTCAGTTTCTTGTAACAACCTTATGTTGCTACATACTGCAGGGAGTCAATCAGCATCAGTCTGTCGAAGTTCCTACACGACTTTAAGTTCAGTTTCTTGTAACAACCTTATGTTGCTACATACTGCAGGGAGTCAATCAGCATAACTCTGTAGAAGTTCCTACACAACTTTAAGTTCAGTTTCTTGTAACAACCTTATGTTGCTACATACTGCAGGGAGTCAATCAGCATAACTCTGTCGAAGTTTCTACACAACTTTAAGTTCAGTTTATTGTAACAACCTTATGTTGCTACATACTACAGGGCTTCAATCAGCATAACTCTGTCGAAGTTCCTACACGACTTTAAGTTCAGTTTATTGTAACAACCTTATGTTGCTACATACTACAGGGAGTCAATCAGCATCAGTCTGTCGAAGTTCCTACACAACTTTAAGTTCTACACCTCCATTCATGCTCGAAGAATGCAGTTCCAAGCCTAACATAAATATATCAATGATATTAATCAGTTGAAATTCATATAGTTTATCTCTGACTGGACGACAACATGTTTCAGTAAGAGATCATACAAGATTGACGAGAAGTGTTGAACTCACTGGCTTGCTTGTTTTTTCCTCCTAGTCTGGTTACCTGATTCACAAGTTCAAATCATTTACCGGTTCCAGACAACTTACAGAATATACTTGGGGTTTTGTATTAAAATCTAAAAATAGCTTCTAAGGTGCACCAATTTATGATCACTCGGACAAAAAAAAACATGAGCTGTATTGTGACACCAGGTGGCGCTAACTCACAAAATACTTGTCTTAAACGACAGAGTAATTATCTATATAAACATTTGTATGCTGTGTTCAATTACATTGTTTTGATTTGGTGCCCATGTTGCTCCAATGAACAGGCATGCGCAGTGCATACAATGTCCAGACATTTTATGATAACAGTATAAACTCCTTTAACGCATGCGTGAAGGTCTAACTTTAAAGTTTCATAGTAAAATAATATTTACCTATTTTAGGCTCCCCAGTGGCTCAACGATATGTCTGAAGGTTTATAACGTTAAAAACTGGGTTTCGATATCCCTGGTGGGCACAGCACAGATAGCCCATTGCACAGCTTTGCGCTTAACAACAAACAGAAACCTATTTTGAAAATTATTTTATGTGCACACAATTTTACGGTTGATCAAAATTCTATACAAACAGAAACGTGGCTTTCGAATAATCGGGAGCCTGTACATCTACCTGTAATTTGTACTAAGTAGTTAACTCAAATTGCAATGTATTCAGAAACGTCGTAATGAGTTTAGCTTTATTACAAGACGCATGCTCAGTCGAGCGACACACACACACACGACTGTCTGCAAACTCGTTATATCTTCTGCTGTTTCTTGAGTTCTCCATATGCAGTGTTATTCTAAGCAAGACATAATACTTATTCCTTTACGTTTGTTTGGCGACCGCTTTTATAATTAGTACTCGGTAAAACTTATAAACGTACATTGTCGTGTAGGATACATGACGTCATTAACTCTAATTGTGTTTGTGTTTTATCTTAAAGCTAAACAATGCCTTATTTACGCCCGGTCCATCGCGTGAGTCCAACCCTAGATTTTAGTTTGTAATTCCGTGTACTTACGGGGTGTTTCTCCTTGTATATAATATCAGTATGTTACTCCTATCGAAACTGTGAAACAGAATACTTGTTATATTTTACTGTCGCCCATGTTGTAATTTTAGTTAGATTGTTTTCGGATATTCGTAGAGATTTATGAACCGTCCCTAATTTTGAAGTGATAGACTAGAGGGAAGGCAGCTAGTCAACACCGCTCACCGCCAACTCTTGGGTTACTCTTTACTAACGAAAAGTGGGATTGACCGTCACATAATAACGTTTCCACAGCTAAAAGGATTGGTATGTATGGCGATAAGATTCGAACCCTAACTACCAGGCATCAATAAGGGGAAGGATAGCTTCTCGAGGAAATAATCTCTGTCTACAGTAGAATTACTAACTCTAGTTTGATCCGGCTAATCTTCTAAGGCTTATTGGTAAGTGACTTAATATCACGTGCAGCGAACTGAACGGTTATCGTAACAGACAGAGTAATTAGTATTAACTCTATTCAGGTCGTGTTTGAACCAGTCCGCCATCCTTTGTAGTGAAACTTTTCTTGCCGAAACAAACGTATTTCTTTACGGCTACCCCTAAAGCTTATAAGGTAACGTAGTCTTCAGTATATCTAAGCCATTTATAATGAGTCGGACTTTTAAAAAATCAATAGTCTACAGGAGAAACCGTTTCTCGGGAAACTTTAATGTGAAGGTAAGAATTTAGAAATCTCATTTTTTGTTTGCCTTATTTTAGTTTCTAATGGAGCTTTAATATGAATACCACACCCTCGCGTTAGAATATTTTAGGATTAAAAATGGAAGTCGAGCAGGGTTTCGAACCCTCATCTCTGCTAAACTGACAAAAACCAACAAATATGGCACTTCATGAGTCGCAATTCTCATATCTTCGGGAAAATTCACTTTCTTCTGATTTTTTTACAACTTCTTTTTAATACAGAAAGTATTTGAGTTTTCAACCTGAACGGCACCTTATGAGACACGTGAGATAAACGGCCAGGTCAGATATCCCTAAGGTACAGGTATAGCTGTCTAATTTTGGACGCCTTACCAGAAGGAAGACAGCCAAGTCAGCAGCACTCGCCGCCTCAAGCACTTTGTCAGGCTTTAAACCCAATAACAGGACTAACTGTTACTCTTATAGCACACACACAGCGGAACATCCAGATCATGTTCGGCGGTATCTCGGTGCAAAAGTTGGACCGATCGATCAGCAGCCCGGCACGCTAACCGCTAGGCTTTACCCAGCCATGTAAGCAAATTAACAGTCTTATTATTCAAACTTAAAAACAAATATAAAAGCTGTAATTTTGTGTAGGTAGCAGTGGCACCTAGCAATACGCCAATCATTAGAGGTGAAAACAGTTTGAATAACGTTACGTGATAGGTAAATCATTTAGAGGACTTGAACCTTATAATGACTAGACGGCACCGAATCAGTTGGATACCCTCACTGTTATCTTTTATCTTTTTTATCCCGGCTGTAATATGTTTAGCTTAAGCTGTGTTTAGATAAGAGAATTCGAACATCAGCTTAAGCAAACACGAGATTTATTTTCTTTAGAGAAGTTGTGAAAAAAAATGACAAGTAGAAGATTGGTCACCTCTAGAAGAAATCGCTCCATCTTTTCGTCACCGTGATATTAATACCTAAAAATATCATCATAAGTGTCGAGTGTTGAAACGTGACACGTGTATACCACAGTCATTTTGAATCACGGTTCGTTAAGACACGTTGCGTGCGCGTTACAATTTTGGTTTGGAAAAAAAACACAAACTGATTTTTTTTTTTCAAGAATGTAGTAAAATCTGTAAGAAACGGTCTAACAATGGATGGTATTTTCAACTACTTCTTTCCATTGTTGTTTGTAACACCGTATAAAATTCTCCTAAATTGAAACAGTTTATTAACGGTCGCAGAACAATTTGTTACAACGTAAAACGCTAATTACGCTATTACTTTAATATACTGCTGCCATCTGGTGAATAGTTAGTAAACTGATATATTTGCTCACTTATTATAAAATGCAAAACTGACTTTTTGTCGAATTTTAGGTTTTTTTCGTTACCCATTCAAGCCTTTTCCAAACTTTGTTCTGTATAATTTGTTTATACACACCTTATAAAGTTGATATAGCTGGAAACTTCAGTTCTTTTTTGATCCTCGTGTGGTACTTGGTGGGAGCTGATATAACTAGAAATTTCTGTTCTCAGCTCATCATAGTTTGGTACTTGGTGGGAGCTGATATAGCTGGAAACTACAGTTCTCTTTTGATCCTGGTGTGGTACTTGGTGGGAGCTGATATAACTAGAAATTTCTGTTCTCAGCTCATCATAGTTTGGTACTTGGTGGGAGCTGATATAGCTGGAAACCACAGTTCTCTACTGATCCTGGTGTGGTACTTGGTGGGAACTGATGTAACTAGAAACTGCAGTTCTCTGCTGATCATAGCATAGTAATTGAGTCTGAAATGAGTTGATATGTTTAATATTTCCTTATTAACTGTCTGAAAAACCTCTAACGGGAATAAGCAATTTACGTTAATCATGAGTTTTATTTGAAGAAGTAGTCAAGTGGAGAAAGAAATGAATAAATAAGTAAAAACTAAAATATTACAAAAAAATAGAAAATTGTAGAATCTATAAAATCATAAAAAATTTAAACTTTATACTGTCTATCACAGATGGTCTGAAAGAAGATCAGGATTATTCGCTTGAGTCGCCATCTATCGGCAATCACTATCCTAATTACGAAGGTGAGTCCCGAATTTCGAAAATAGAATTCGTTGCAAAATGGATGATATTTTTCTTTAAATTTTTTATATGACTCTTTTATATGTATCTTATTAGGCACCCTGTTATCAACAATACTATAGACCCACAAGGCACGACGCACATATAGCTTAGAGAAAAAACGTTTAAAAACTAATGGGATCCATGAACACCATCAGTAATTTTAGGGTTAAACTTCTTAATTACTTGCAAATAAACTATCATATCAACAGATTTTTATAGAATATATGTTTGTAAAGATATATCATTCAGTGGATAAACATATGTGATCAATCCTGTACAGTATAAATGCTTTGTTATTTCGGTTGTTCTTCTATAAATATTACAGAAATATATGCAAGATATTCGTGTAAAAATGTTTAATTAATGCTCATGAAGTTAGGAGTTTTTGTTTTATAACATTGGTTCCTCGGTTCTCATATTTTACAGTTTTGTAAATCTTACTGTCTTTTTCAATATACATTTTCCGTAAATTTTGTTCTCCAGTTCCAGGTAAACCAAAACTGATTCAGATCAGTACTTTTCCAAACGGAAAGATCCACCGAAAAGCAGGGAGCTCCGTTTACTTAAAGTGCGTTGGAACAGGAAATCCGCAAGTTTCTTGGCTTAAAGATGGGCACATCCTATTAGATAACACATTATCAGAAGATTCCATAAGAGGACGCTGGTATCTGCATCTGAAAAATTTACGACATGATGACAGTGGGAATTATACTTGTGTTCTTAGTAACGATTTGGGATCGGTACACAAGTCTTTCATACTGGAGGTTGTAGGCAAGTCGTAAATGTAAAAATTAAATTAAATTTGAATTCAAAATGTCGTCTACCTTTGTACGACCACAGATTTCATGTACTATGGAATCCTGAAGCCACTTCCAGGATATTATTTGATTACGCCATTTTTTAAAAATTTAATCAATAACACAGGAACACGAAGGATGTGCTGAACTTGGAAAACAAACAAAAAAAAATGGGAGAAAGTGCCCTCTAAAAATGGTTCTGATTCAATGTGAATCACGCTATAACAGTTAAACTTGTAGATGAAATAGAACAATAAAAAGTATTCTGTACAATGGTGTTCAACTTTGAACTTAGTACGGAAGGCTTTATTGCAAAGATTTTATAACTGATAAGCATGTGTTAATTAATGATATTTCCCGGATGTGCGATTCGAAGCCTTTTTGATATTAAGATAGCACCGTGGACCTCTGCTATATTATGATAAAAGGCCAAGAGATGGCACATAACTCGAGCAGTCTCTTTTTTTCCTTGGGGCTTTGCGCAAACAATTGGTAAGCGTGCTCGGACTGTTAATCCATTTTAAAGTATTGGGTGCATTATAAGAGTGATGGTGAAATCCTTGATAAAAAAAAAGTAGCCCAAGAGTTGGCGGTGGGTGCTGTTGACTAGCTAACTGCTTTCATTCATGTTTATCACTTCAACATTATGGACGACTACACAAAAAATTGTAAAGGCATTCTAGCGACATCTATTGGCATTTTAATTAAAATTGTGTTGAATAAGAATTATTTCAAGGTTTTATTTGTTTAATTAGGGTAAAACCACACAACTGGTTATTTGCGCTTTGTCCTCGGAGAGAAATCGAAACACGAATTGTAGCATTGTCAGTCCGTAAACTTACCGCTGACCCAGGGCTAGAAACAAAGTAGCCAAGTACCAAATTTTGGATGGGTCGTGAGTTACAGGGAGTTAAAAGGGCCCTGCACACTTTGATTGGGTGGACCTAGGTGTTTAGTGGGCGTGCTACGGCCCACCCGTGGCTAAGCCACTAGTTAGAATATTACAGTAAATTGAAATTATTGAGATGTGATGGTTGATTCCTGTGACAATTTTACAAGATATTGTGTTATTAAGATTATGTCATTGAATAACCAATTTAATAAATATGCTGTGATACTAACTACCCAAAAACTGGGACCGTTTTGAAAGAGTAATTTGTTGTGTTTAAATACGGTTTTAATCGATAGTAAACCCATGTGTTTGTACATTTCTTGGGTCACAATTATTATAGCAAACAATTTATTTTTATTAACAGACCGGAACAGCAACAAGCCTAAACTTGTAGGAGATCACCCGAAGAATACGACAGTAAATTGGGGCGAAACGGCGACGTTTCAGTGTCACGTGGAGAGCAAGGTTCCTCCTCATATTAAAGTAAGCAATAAATTAATATCCAAGAAAATAGCTTATGGCTCAGTCAACATTAAGGTAAGCAATAAATTAAGCTCCGGGGAAAGAGCTTATGGCTCAGTCAACATTAAGGTAAGTAATACATTAATATCTAAAAAAAGAGCTCATGGCTCAGCTGATATTAAGGTAAGCGTTAAATTTAGCTCCAGGGAACTTTTAAATTATTATATTGTATTATAGCGTATAGCGTTTCATAGAATCTTATGCCTCTCGTCGTCTGGTTTTGAATGAAATAATCATTTGGCAGTGACTTGTGGGAAACAAAAGATAGATTTGAAATACTAGTTATTATTCATTGATAATTTATTTTCGACGACGATGATGCCAGTTGTTTTCAGAAACAAACTACTGCTATAGTTGGGCGCGTCAGAATATGGTATTACTTTGGAGTTATAAGAGATAAACATTTCAAGATGACTGAACTGTTGATGTTACGGTTTGAAACACTTGAATCGGGACTTTAATTTTATTTTGTTTTAGTGGCTCCGTCTACTTGAAGGTAGTGAACTTGCCTCCTTGAAGGAGCAGCCGAACGTCATTCCACTCCAAGGAGAGTATTTTAGGCTCCTGAACGCCTCTGTTATAGTGAAACGTTCTGACAACTCCTTCTTTACCAAATTCCGAATCCATGAAGCACGAGAATCTGACAGTGGGAAGTATTTCTGTCTTGGGACTAACGCCATGGGGTTCACCTTCCGGTCAGCTTATCTTACGGTCAGGCCACAAGTATCACCAGACAGTCGGTTCTTGTATCCTCACCAATCTTCTGGTATGTTCCACTAGTATTAGCATTTAGCGACTTTCAATCTGCTGATAATGTAGAACACACGTGACAAAAGAAGCCTGTTTTCAGAATAGTGTTATACCTCTCAAAGTTACTTTCTAAATACAAATTATATTCACATGAAGTTGGATTAGGCCTAAATCAATAATAATGTATATCGTATACTAATCTAATAATGTAAGATATCTCTGTAATGAAAATATAAAATTAATAGCTACATTAAATATTCTAACCGCTATTGTTGTTAATGAACGTAACAGTAAAGAAATAAAACAGTTTACTTTACTTACAGAACACATAACATAAGTTGTTGCCTCATGTACTATCGTAGGTTTACTGTTTCTTGAAGAACGTGAAATTAGTATAAACAGAGCTATACAACCCCCCCCCCCCCTAATAACATCTTGTGATCAAGATTCCGTAATAGTTAGTACGGCAAAACACCATTTCCCACGTTTCTACACACTGATAAATAAACTAACGTCTTTATTTAAGAACTTTTGTATGTACTTGTTCTCCGTTGACGAAAGTGGTTTTTCACGTAATTTTGGGAGTGTCATCTAATTTTTTTCTGGTATGACACTATATACATTATTAATGAAGAGCCCAAGATTTTGTACAAACTGTGATTTGGAAAGTAACTCGAAATACAACAAACACAAAAAAATGAACGGCGTGTTACTCTATGTCAATCCTTTAAATTGTTTTTTAACCGTAAATAAGTGTTTTCTTGATTTATGCTTTAATTAGCTTCAATTTCATAAGACTAAGAAGTGGAGCGGTATTTTACTTATTACTGTATTACTGTATCGTTCTGAGTGTTGCTATTTTTCTGCTTCTGGTCGGGTTCTTATGGATTTTTTATTAAAAAAATTAATGGCAAGTTCGTTCCACTGAAACTTTAACTTAAAGGTAAAAAAATGTTATTTCTTCAAATTTCACCATTAGCGTAACAAACGTCCACCGATAGCCCTAACTTCACAAATAAACTACGTCTTACAGAAATGCCAGTTACTTGCTAATTTCATATCTCAGTTTCTTCGTTGAAACACAGGCCAAAAGTAAAAATACTTTTTCGAAATATTGAATCTGTATAGCCATCGCAGGAGGTCCGAGAGCGAATTTGAATTAGTTTGTTTTCTGTTTTGAATTTTTGGACAAGTGTCAAGAATCACTTTAAAAATTGGTGATTGGTCCTTAATGTAATATTTATACATTGAATATATCTAAATACTTTCAATACCAAAATGTACCAAGTCATTAAGATCGATTTTAGGAAAACTGTAAAATAAAATAACTTGATTTTATCTGTATGAAATGAAATCGTTTTATTTATCCACTATTTTTGTTTTCAGGCCCACACAGTTATCCGTCTCTGTCCCTACCTTTTCCAATAATTATTGCTGTAGCCATAGTGGCGTGTGTCGTATTAGTTGTTGTGATAGTGTTGGCGTTCAACTGTCGAAAACAAAGGACACCTCAAACACCAGAGGACACCACCGTAAAGAGTCCTTGCACCAATAGTAGTTTAGTCTCACAAACCAGCGTTTCTAAGGTTCGGGTTGGTAGACCTACGTCTAGTACTCGGTCAACAACAAGAATTTATTGTCCAGCCAATCACGGGCCAATACCTCGCTTCTCACAGCCAGTGCATTTATAATTTTTTATTTTATTTACTTATGTGTAATTCACTCATTTAAAATGCTAAAATAAGACTTAAAACTATTTGACCACAAAACTAAAATCTACAACACAGCAAAAGCCATGATGATTGAAATGATGCGTGAGTTATTTGCTGTTGTTTTTTTTGCGTATTAATTGCTTGGTCTTTTACTTTTGAACAGGTATTAGCACAAGCGTAATTAACCTAGGCCTATAAAGGCTATATCAATAGCTCTGTCTGTTGGTGTTAGTACAGGCCTAATTAGAGTAGGCCTATTTTATGTTTTGTACAGTATCATAGAAATATTTGTATAGAAACTATATCAGCAAGGCATGATGTAAAATAAAATAAAAAATATGTTTTAATGTTATTTATAAGACTTAAACTAGCTATGTATAATATAGTATTGGTATTTGAAGTGTTCGCTGAACTGTTAAATGTTGTTTGTTACTAATATACAAATCCTTGTTATAGATAAAAGGGCAGATTTACCCTAGCTATCATGTTTGATAAATATGATTGTTTTGTATAGACACTACTCTGACGAACACAGACCGTTGGAAACATTAAGCCTAACTTAGGCTGAATACAGAATCTAATAAATGTTTTAAAATTTATATACTTAATAAGAGAACAAAAACTCATAATTGATGATATTAAAATTCACGATTAATTGAATTTGTTCTGTCGTAAGTTCAGTAGAAAGCCAGATATCCACCATATTGTTTAAAAAAATATAGTCTCATAACCCAAATAATTAGGGAATTTATTTACACAAACTGAATCTTTCTTAAATACTCGGAGAGTCGATAATTTTCTTAGACGTTAAACGTCTAAAAATCTTTAAAATGAATATTTTCTTACTGTGAACTAGTCACAATTTTTCAATTTGATAAGTTTAACCGTCCTTAACAAATCGTATCGAAATACAGCAAAATTAACAGTCCATAATTTCTCGAAGCAAGAGCCGAAGAAGGATCAGACTTGATCAGCTTGCTGATCGTTAAGCTTTAGCTATTAAATATAAGGTTAATAAAGAGTTTTACTTTAAAGTTATAATTATACATAATACAATACCATATTTCAATTAAACGGAGATGAAAATATTAGTAAAATAATATAGTACAGGTGTTTTGTTTGTAATTGATAACGTACAAATGTCATTTTGATAACATATTTCTGTGGTTATAAATGACTTAGTTATCAAAGTTATGCTCTGACTTAAATATTAATACTAATTTTTAAGTTTAAAAAAATGTGCACTTACAAACAGATTATTAATTTTAATCACTTATTAAAGCTTGAGCATGTAGAATATTTTGAAATTAATATTTCTAAAATGATTGTGTCCTCCGGTGGGTCAGCGGACTAAGTACGCTAAAATCTGGAGTTCTATTCTCCGCGGTGGACAGAGTGCAGATAACTCTTTTTGGGGCCCGGCATGACCAGGTGGTTAAGGCACTCGACTCGCAATCTGAGGGTGGAGGGTTCGAATCTCCGTCCCACCAAACATGCTCGCCCT